CCCCCCCCCCCCCCCCCGCGGTGTTTGCCATCGGGATTGGGGCTTCTTCGCTTGGCAACGACATTGAAAAACAAGCCAATTCACTTCGTGAACTCGGCAACCAGGTCACCGTGTTTTTTGTACCTCTGTTTTTTTTGGGCGGTAACCATAATGGTGGTCGAGTAGATCATGTTGTGCGGGGTCGAGAACCCTCACTCCGCGCAAGGGGGATGATCGCACCACGTCGTGTTAAAATGGTCAAGCACCCTCGAGGCAGCTACACAGTGCTGATAACTGTCTCTGGGAGTGAAAGCACCATAAAATAAACTAAGTCATACGCAGCTGTCATCCGTACGCAAGGGAGTAAGCACAAGATGCCGAACACCCTTAGGAGGATGCAGCGCACCCTTCATGTGACTCGCCAAATACCTCACGGCGCTTCGCGCTTGGTGATGTGAGAGCCTGGTCTGGTAAGAATCCGGCGTGTTTCGTCCCGGCTTTGCAGGGATGCGAGGTCAACGGTCCAACGACTACGGCATGCACGACTATCAGTACCCCCCCCCTGGTGTTTGTCATCGGTGTCGGGTTTCGCAACGACGATGTAAAACACCTCGATCACTTCGTGAGTTCGGCAACAAGGCTACCGCTTTTTTTTTTGCCATTACACAGTTTCGGACTGAGGCTCCAAATTTTCCGATTAAGGAAGCAGATATTTTCAGATAAGAAAGTTTCCTAGAAACTTCGTTCAGGTGAAATTTGTCAGATTTAAGCGGCTTCGTGTGATTAGCTGTGAGTTGACAGTCCTTCCACGAACTTCCCCTGTCCGCAGGTGCTGCAGTTTTTCGTGGTGCGCTACGTGACAGCTAGCTGTGCACCTTACTTGATGACAAGTGGCTCTAACTGCTGCTGCTGTTTTGAGTGTGCGTGTGTGCGTGCGTGCGTGCGCGTGTCCGTGTCTGCATCGCCCCCTCAACCCCAGCATACGAAATCGCACCACACCAATACGGAGACAGCAAGTGATAACTGTACACTGGCCGTCGACAGCCTCTGAACGAAGTGCTATGTCGCGTTTCAAGCGTTCGGGAGAGAGACGGGGGATTTGGGACCGTGAGGCACATCCGAGTCAAACGCCCTTCTTTCTAGTAAACACCAGAGAAAACACTCTTGCGCGCGGAAGGACGCGCCCGCCTTCACCTGGAGGCCACTGCGTGCTCTTCCGCCTCTTCTCTTCTTCTTTGCTGGCGGCGTTGCCACCACCCCTAGGTTCGTGCGCTCTTCCTCCCCCTTGCCTCAATCTGACGGGCGTGTTGCTGACCTCAAGTCAGTCGGAAAGAAACCCAACTTTCTGACCGTGCAGCCTCCCTGTTATTGTGTTGGTGGCGCGCCAACTCCAAGGCCTTTTTCGCTGGGCGCTGGCCTTTTCTTTGGCCGGGCTGTCATGTTCTCAGCAGACAGCTGTGTGTGCGTGCGGTGGTGCATGTGATGTGTTACTTCGAAGAACGTTGCTACATCGAAAAATAGTGAATTTTTTCCATAAACCAAGCCTCCCTCGGCTCTTAAATTTGTACGGTACATTTTTTTTTTTTTTACTTCCGACAATTAATTGCAGATGTACCTCAGAAAACTTTCACTTAATGTCTCATACTCTACATAAACATTAAACCAATACGAAGTACAACAACATATGTAGGACTTATTTCTACTGTCACTTACATCGTAAAAATATCTCCTCTTCAACTTGAAATAAACCAATGACAATCCTCATGGTATCCTATATGCGTTCGTAAGCTTCCAAAAATACTGCTGCGTTGATGTCCTCTTGTAAAAGCTGAAATCCAACAAATGCTTTGATCCATACTACATCTCCGTGTTGGAAAAGCCCTTTCTTCTCCGTTCATGATCACATCTTACCCTATACTTGAAGTATTTATTTATTTATTTTTGCCTTCCGACAATTTGTCACATCTACTCTCAAACAAGGCGCCAACTTCAATCGAAAAAGCGTTCTACGATGCGTCTACACTCGGTCCCCATATCATTGGCGTTGACTGATTCGGTACATTGTTTCCTGGCGAGACTGTCAGGAGCGATCCTCAGAACGACGGCTTCACTCAAAATATGTTTCCTTATTTCGGAAAATTTATGAGTCCGAAACTGTCATTTTTTTTCGGAAATGCTATTTACGACCCCGGTGTCGTAAATCCTTCTCAGCCCAGAGGGCTCCAAATGGCGTAACACTAGATTCGTTGGAAAGCCACGGCTCTCAGCTATCTCGCCAACTTTGTTTCAGCTACATCTGCCTCGTGGTTGCGGAGGTATGGCCGGATACATGTAGGGACCCTCGGGGGGGTTCCGGAGCATCACACCGAGGGTCCCTACATGTATCCGGCCATATCTCCGCAACCACGAGGCAGATGTAGCTGAAACAAAGTTGGCGAGATAGCTGAGAGCCGTGGCTTTCCAACGAATCTAGTGCTACGTCATTTGGAGCTCTCTGGGCTGAGATCGGGATGGTGTCGTAGTTAAGGATTTACGACACCGGGGTCGAATTTAGCATATATATATATATATTTTTTTTTGCGGAAAATTACTACACAGTCTACAGCAAAGGTAGATCGTGCTGTGCGGGTTCGAGAACCCTACTCCGGACAAAGGGAATGATCGCACCACGTGGTGATGACTTGGCCAAGCACCCTCGAGGCAGATACGCAGTGCTTACAACTGTCTCAGGAAGTGCAAGCACCAGAAGAAACAAAAAAAAATCATTCGCAGTTGTCGTCCGTACGAAAGGAATTAGGCACAAGATGACGAACACCCTTAAGGGTCGTTTTAGCAGGATGCAGCGTGCCTTCCACGCGACTCGCCGAATACCTCACGGCGCTTCGCCCTCGCTTGTGAGAGCCTGGTCCGGGGAGAACCCGGTGTGCTCCGCCCCAGCTTTGTGGGGATGCGAGGTCATGGTCTAACGACTACCTGGTACGTCACGCACGTCTTTGAGTGAGTAAACGTCCCACCCATTTCTATTTCTTCCCCCAGCCCCTTCTCAACGTGGCACTGCTGTGCCCCGCTTTTTCTGCCTGCGTCATCAATATGATGTGGGGTTCTTCCGTGATCAATAAAATGTTCAGAAGAAGGCATTAACGAGTGGTGCCGGGAAAACAAAATTTTGAGTATACTCTCTCGTGAATTGGCACAGTGAAAATCGGCAATAATTCCAAGATGGATTATTGGGGTCCCATCAGTTTGAGGTTATCGTTGAGCGATTCTTCTTTTCATTTATATTGGGACGGGGAGGATTCGGTGATGCCAGAGGCATCATGCACGCAAGACAAATATTTACCCGACCGCCGACAACATTGGACGGAATTTTTCTGTTTCCGACGGTGTGTCTTGCACCAGCACCAGCACTATCAGCTACCTCGAGAAGCAGGTGGCAGCGACAATAATCAAGGAGACATTTGCTGGACGGTCAAGTTGATGACGAGGGTACATACACCAGCTGGTGCATTGAGAGCAAAAAATTGGTCCCACGGCAGAGTGCATGGCGGGCAGACACAGTGTGGGGGGACGTCATATCTCTATTTCGGATTCCCGCGTCAAAACTACTCTTTCTAGCGCAACCCAGTGCTTTGATGTCCCGCTGCTATTCAGGCATCCACGAATAACAGCAGCCAGTTGACGGATCCTGCTTTCACATGTCAACACAAGAGCCCATGCGTGCCGGCTGCCAAAATGCGCCCAAAAGTGAATGAAATGTACCGGCCATTTGAGAGACTAAGCTGCAAAATAGAATCAAGGAAATGCAATACGGAAAGATGAGGGCAATAGACGCAGAAATCACGCGACAGAAGCGCTTGAGTATTGCACGGCAATGGCACGTGGGCCAAACAGCAGCATGTTTTTTTGGAGTTTCCTCCCTCTCCGGCTGATGCCCTTGTTGGAGGCAAGCCCTTTGGTGGAGGCAGGACGAACACAGAAGACTTCCACACGCTGGTGTATGCAAGAACGCCTAATGCAAGCAAAGACGCAAGCAAGAGACCCATTGCTAATGCGGTGACTCAAGCACGTCTGGAACAGCTGTTGATGTTCGTGGGCCTGCGAACATTGGTGTTGGATACATGAGCTGGATGATTTGATGTCACGCAGACTGGTAGGATGGCCGTTTGGTAGGGGGCACCGCAATGATTCACGGGGCCCCTCCTTGCTGTGGGAGCCGCTCTTTGAGCACTCCCTCTTTCGTCCGTGTGAAGGAAGGTCGTCCACCTCGTGAAGTCAATCCATCACCAAACAGTCTCACCCGATAAATAAGTGGCGCAGACCGCAAACACTCTGGAAATTTTTGCCCCTCGAGGGAAGCTACATTGGGATGAGCTCTGCTGGAGACGAAGAGCGCACTGCTGCGAGCGGAGAACAGATCCGCCCGCCGGTGCAGGAGGGCAGCGATGCGGAGCTTGCAAGTTTGCAACTGCAGGTTTCGCGATTGGCGGCCCTGGTGGAGGAGTTGATAAAGAAGGAGCCTGGCAGCGTCGTGGCGGATGCAGCCAGTAGGGGCGGCTGGGTTGCCGCCACCGGAGGTCAAGAGCCCCAGCAGCCGCACGGCGGAGGCGAGGGATTTCTCCAGCAGCAAGCAAAGAGATGGTGGACAAGAAACACGTCAGCCGCTGGAAGGCGGCTGGGGCAGCAGATCGGGAGCGAATCCTGCGAGACCAGCCGGAGTGGGCCCGGGCATACGACCAGACTACGGGGAAGCGAGGGGGTTAAACCCTCCAGGTGAGATACCCGTGATTCGAGGAACTGGAGAATTCCTCGACGACCACAGCAGTAGCCACATGAAGCGAGTAACAGTCAATGCCCCGCGTCTCGAACGGGAGAGTCACGGCCATGGGTATGACTCGTGGAGAAAGTCGCTTATCCAAGCGGCCAAGACTGCAGGACTGGACGGCCAATTGATCGGCAACAACGAGCGACATACACCTGTCGGCAACCCAAACGTGCCAAGCTCGGAGCTGCACCGCCTCCAATACACCAGCGACGAGGTCCAGAGGGGCCTCCAACCGTTCCATTTTGTGACCACTGCCATCGTCAGAGAAGCCGACAAAGCGATCGTGAACAAATGCGAGACCGCAAAAGCGATCCTCGCGGAACTCGACAAAACCTACGATCCGGGATCGCAGGGCTCGAAACAAGCCCTCATGAAGCAAATGTTCGACTTTAAGATCCCCACAAACAGCAGCAGAAACCCCATCGAGCATCTACACTCGCTCGAGCTGCTGCACTCACGCCTACGCGAAAAAGAGCTCAACGCTGACGCACCCTTTGTACTCGCCCACTTCGTCGGTTTCCTCCCATACAACAAGCGAAGTTCTTGTTGGAGACAGCAACGGCGCTGGATAGGGCCGAGATCGTCAGAATCGTGAGCACGGTGCACGCGAGCCTTCTGGAGGGGAGAAAGGCCTCGAAGGGCCAGCGGGNAAGTTCCTGTTGGAGACAGCAACGGCGCTGGATAGGGCCGAGATCGTCAGAATCGTGAGCACGGTGCACGCGAGCCTTCTGGAGGGGAGAAAGGCCTCGAAGGGCCAGCGGGGGGCGGAGCACGCTCTTCTCGCGAGCGACGCTAGCGGTGGGGGAGGAGCGCCGGGCCGCGGCAACGGCGGCCGCCCGCAAGGGTGGCGGCGGCGGAGGCGGCGACGACGATGCCGGTAGCATGCGTGGTCGCTGTTTCCGGTGCGGCAAGAAGGGCCACCAGGTGGCCGACTGCACTGAGAGTAAACCCATGCGGTGTGAGACATGCAAGGGCTACAGGCACGAGAAGAGCAAGTGCCCGACCGAGGGGGCGGTGCTCGTGTGCATGTGCCGGCGGGGGGGGCGTCTGCGAACGCCACAGCACTGGACGTGGCAGAAGAGGCGCTGGTGGTCGGTGGCATCTCAGGCGTGTGTTACAAAGTCGTTGTTCGANCACCCACATGTTCGCGAACTCAGATGGGTTCGTTCGTTACGAAGAGTGTGATCGACGTGTGCGCGTCGCCGCCGGAGAAACCTTCCCTATCGTAGGGTATGGCGACGTGACGGTAACCCTTAGCTCGCGCGACGGTACAACCGACCTGTTGTTGAAACGGGTTGCACACGTCCCCCGACTAGACTACAACCTAGTATCTCTCACTTCCCTCTTCGACGACGGGTTCGAAACCAAAACCCTCAAAAAACACGACTTGGAATTGGAGAGAGTGGGGGGGGAGTCGGTGCACTTCCCCCGATGCGGTAACCTGTACGTCCGAAACGGTTCCCGCACACACAACGAACATGCATCTCCCACAATTGCTCCTGGCAACGCGAAAGCGCCCAGCACCCCCGTTGACATCAACGATTTCCACTGCGCGCACGGCCACTCCCACGAGGTGCTGCTGAGGACCACGGCGAAGCAGCAGGGGACGATGCTGGTGGGCGAGCTCCTGGAGTGCCTGGGGTGCTCGACGGCGAAGGGACTTTCCACGCCCATCCCTAACAAAACGTCAACCCGAGCAGCTAAACTGCAGCGAGTTTTCGTGGATTTGAGTGGAAAAACTAGGGCGCAGAGCTTGGGGGGAAAGTGGTACACCCTCATTGTCAAGGATGATTTCACAAGGTGGAATCGTGTATATTTCCTGAAGCACAAATCAGACGCAGCTGAGGCATTCGAGAGGTACCTTGCAGAAAACCGGGCAGACGGTGCCCCGTCCGATGTCATGGTCGTGAGATCTGACAACGGAGGAGAGTTTTTCTACGGAGAGTTCGGCAGGGTGTGCCGGAAGTACTGCATCAAGCAAGAGTTCTCCCCTGCACACAGCCCAGAATACAACGGTGTAGCTGATAGAGCACTGGATCTGATCAAAGATGCAGCACTAGCCGCCCGTATCCAAGCGTCAACTTTCCCCCCGGAGCCCCGAACTACCCCTCCTTTTGGGTCGAACGCCATAGCTTGGGCAAGCAACGCCCTGAGCTGCACCTCCACCACATCCAACCCAGTGAAGAAATCGCCGTGCGAGTTGTGGCACGGGCACCCTCCCCCGCCGCGGGCGACGAACCCGTTCCTCCAACCTGCCGTATACAAGGTCAAGCGCACGCACAAGTCCGAGCCGAAAGCCCAAAAGTGTTTTTACCTCGGCCCGGGAATCAATACCAACCGTGATTGCGTGCGCATCTTGAACGAAAAACGCCAAGCGATCACAACTCGCAACTCCACCTGGCAATCCGTACCCGCTGCCCCCACCGCCCTGCCCCAGTCGCTGCCTCCCATCGCTGAGGAGGAAGAGGAATTCGCGACTGGGGAGGATGAGGTTGGGGAGGGCGCGTCGAGCCAAGGTGGAGGGAGGGCGGAGGGAGAACCTGTGGATGGAGGACCAAGTTTCAACCTTGAGACGACGGCAGTACCGGGGCCTGCGGGGCTGCCCGCGCGGGTAGCGCCGGCGGCGCCGCCGGCTGCGCCCCAGGAGCCGGGTGCGGGTGATGCTAGCGATGGCGCCCCCTCGAGCAGGGAGGGCGCGAGGGTCGCCCCATCTACCACGTCGGCCGGCATGGCCGATGTGGGCGGCGGCGAGGACGACCGCCGCAGTAGCAGCCGCCGCGATAGCGGCGGCAGCGGCAGCGACAGCGGCAGCGACAGCGGCAGCAATAGCAGCGGCAGCAGCGGCAGCAGCGGCAGCGGCAGCGGTAGCGGTAGCGACAGCGAGACGGATCTCCCGGCGCTCCGTGGGCCAGAGGCCCGGCGGCTCGCCCGCTTCGACAAGCCGGCGGAACTCACGCGCCGCCTCACCAGGGAGAACCCTCGCCGAAATCCGAGGTACGAGTCGCCCCCGTTGCCGACAAGTACCGAAGCCCTGCTCGCCTCGGCGGCGAGCCTGCCCGTCAGCAGCACGGAGAAGTTCACCAGTTGGATGCTCTCGGCGGTACTTCACGTGGCGGAAGGGCTAGAGGCTAGGGCGGCGCGAGAGTTGCTGTTCGAGCGCGCGGAGGAGGCCCACGCTGCGCGCCAAGAGGCGGAGGACTTCCTGCTGGGTGCGGTGGACCTCATGCTCAACTCGCCAGACGCCTTCGAGACGGCTCTGGCGTCCCACGAGCTAAGTGAATCCCCCATTGGCAATCGTCCGAGTGGTGTAGAATCCCCCCCCATGACCGGAGCCGGCGTTGCCAAGTCTGTGTACAGAGAGGGTTGGGAACAGGCCATGAGGGAATAGTTTGAAGGGCACTTGGGCACGGGGACGTCTTCATTTGTAGACGGCGCGCCAGAGGTGTGAGCCCAAAGTGGTGCTTTAGTTGGAAGACCAACAAGGAAGGGAAGATAGACAAGTTCAAAGCGCGTCTGGTTGCTAGGGGGTTTTCGCAAATCCCGAACGTCGATTATTTCCATTCGTCTTCCCCTTGCCCATCATCCGCATCCACAAAACTAATGCTTGCGGTAGAAAACGAGAAGGGCATGAGCCTCATTTACTGGGATGCGAAGCAGGCGTACACACACGCCACGCTAGACGAGGAGGTTTTTCTGAGGCTCCCCGCTGGGTGCGGGGACCAATCGCATAAGATCGTCAAGGCTGAGCGTGCGATTTACGGTCTGAAGCAGAGCGGTAGGCAGTGGGGGTACCACGCTGCTGATACGCTAGTCGAGAACAAGTTCGAGCAGTGCAAGGCGGACCCGTTTGTTTTCCGCAAGATGATAGACAAAGTCGTGGTGATGATTATCGTGATCTACGTGGATGACATTTTGGTGGCTGGGTCTGACGAGGATTGCGAGATGTTGCTTGCTTCTCTCAAGTAGAAATTTCCCACCAAAAATCTTGCAGAATGCGAATGGTTTGACGGGTGCGCCATTGAGAGAAATGTAGAGGCTGGGACACTTAGAATCTCCCATACCGCGTACATTGACAGCATGGTGAAACACTTGGATGTACAGTCGACCTCCCGCATCCCTGCTTCCCCTGGTGTCGACCTAGGACCGAAGCAAGATGACGAGAAGGGAGGGGAGTGGCCGGTGAGGGAGGCCACCGGCAGCATGATGTGGGTGTCAACGTTCTCGCGTCCAGGCGCCTCGTTCGCCGTGCGTGCGGTAGCGCGCCACGCCCACGCCCCGGCGAAGAGGCACTGGGATGCCATACAGAAGATTCTCGGCTACTTGAAAGGGACGAGGGACCTCGGCATCACTTACCAACGGGGATCGGGGTTAGGGCTTGCCATGTACGTAGACGCTAGCTACGCCGACACGGAGGACAAGCGTTCGGTGTCAAGGTTGGCGACGACGGTTGGAGGTACCGCAGTCAGCCATGGTAGCAAGTCACAGAGCATCGTGTCTTTGTCTTCGACGGGACCCGAATATATTGCTTCCGGGTAGGGCGCCGAGGAGGCGTTGTTTGTGCGTGCGGTACTTTCGTTTGTTGCCACAGAGACCAGTGGTAGCAGCATCTAGGTCCTTGAGGACAACCAGGGGGCCATAGCGTTGGTGGAGAACCCCCTCAGCTCAGGTCGCACGAAACACATCGACATGAGGTTCCATTTCATCCGCGGAATGTTTAGGCTGAGAGATATTTCGGTCAAGTTTGTTCCGACAACGGAGCAACACGCGGACCTCCTCACCAAGGCCCTTAGCAGGGCCAGTCTGCAGTACCACCGGCGCAAGTTGATGAATTTGCCGGAGTAGCTGTAGCAGTTCCTAGCACTTGGGAGAGGTCATGTTTTCCATGCGGGGAAAGGCGCATAACTGTTGCAGTCTGTGTACCAATGGCAGGAGTAGGGGGCGTTGGGAGACCATCGTCCGGGGGAATGTAGTTCCTCGCGTTCTTGTCTTCGCCTCGGCCTTTCTAATAAGCGCGGCCGTTGTGATCCGCTGTGATAGCAACGGTTGTTGTGGTGATAGGTTGATTTTTTTAAGGGTTTTGCCCGGACGCCGGGTCCCCCTCCATTTATTACCATGTTGGTATTTTCTGGTGTATCCAGGGGCGTTCTTGCCCCATTGATGGTTATTCACTTGCGTAAAGAACCAGGTAGGGTGTTCGTGGGTCTGCGAACATTGGTGTTGGATACATGTGCTGAATGATTTGGTGTCACGCAGACTGGTAAGATTTCCGTTTGGTAGGGGGCACCGCGATGATCCACGGGCCCCCTCCTTGCTGTGGGAGCCGCTCTTTGAGCACTCCCTCTTTCGTCCGTGTGAAGGACGGTCGTCTACCTCTCGTGAAGATAATCCATCACCAAACAGTCTCTTACCCGATAAATATGCGGCTTAGACCGCAAACAGTTGATACTGCCCGACTCATCGATCCGAGGGTGTGTGAGTGAATCGAACGAGCAGGAGAGAGACTAATCCATGGCGGCCGGGTGCAGCCCAACTTGCCCAGCACCAATTGAAGTCACTTAAGGAGGACGGCCCGCCCCCCATTCACAGAGCACGCGAGGCGTCACTGATCGGTCTCAGGCCTCCTGAGTACGGCCCCTTGACACAAGGGCGACCCGCAGCACCTTCCGCACGGCCGCAGAGTGAATTTTCCAAGATCTGATGCCATGCTTGAACACCGTGCTTGACACCACGGGAAGCGAGGCTGTGCCTTTCCCAAAACCAGCGACCAGCAACACACGCCTCTCACGCACCTGAGCCCGACGCTGGACTTGGCCACCACACTGCCGCTCGAAAGGGGTCCTATCGCAGCCCGTTCTGGGAGCTAGAGGTTGGGAGTCATTCGTGCTTCAAGCGGAGGTAGAGCGAGGAGTGGAGGCTTGACTCTCCGCAGTTCGAAACAAGCGGGTCCGCAGTCAGGGTTCTCGGGCAACAGCCATTTAATCTATAATTTCTTTGCCGCAACAGTTTCGGGGTTCATCAGAGGCACCGGATAGCCTCTTTCAAGCAGTACTGTTGTAGGGACCGTGTGACCGAACAACCGTGGAACTGTGTTTTGTATGGGCGTGTGACCACGTGATATTGTGACCATGCAACCATGTAACCGCCGAACAACCGTGAAACTGTGCAGTCGGCCCTGATCGGTGTGTCGATAAATGTGTCGAAGGATATGAAGAAGGAGAGAATAGGTACGGTGTTTTCGACAGAGTCGACCTTTGGTTGCTTGGCACACTCCGAACAAGTCTTGGAATATACACCTCACTTTCGGTGGAACACGCAGATGATCAGCGCCGCCGTATTGAGCCCGCAGTGAAACCTAAGCCGTAGGCGAGCCAGCACGAAGTATTGTTGATTGCGCTATGTTCGCTTGTAACGAGACATCTTTGCCTCGCCAGGAAGTGACACTCTGCCCAGTTCATTCGCGAGGCGAACGATGCTCAGGTATAGAGCTCAGTTGAGAATGGACAGATCAACTCAGCATACTATCAGATGTGCGAAGTGCAGCCGCGCAATTACTTCACGGGCTCAATAATCAGACTATTGTAAACACTTCACCGTCTTATTCAGCCCACTCTCGCCCATGCGTTAAGTGGTGAAACGTGTCGCCCCACACACGTGGAATGATTTCATTCCCAACTGAATTTCGGAGGGGAATATCGAGAGAGGAAATGTATATCCGAAAACGGTGGGAGCAAGACACTCCCTCTCAAGACCACAGCAGCAATACGCCTTTCTGCTTCCGGTGTGGCCGCCAGGTCGTATTTCGTCTCCACTTTGCAGAAGAATGACATATGGTGTAGGCGAACCCCCCCCCCTACCGTTTCAAGCACAGAGGTATGGGGAGGATGGGACCTGTGACCAAATTGTGGACAACAAGTGGAGGGATGTAACAACGACGGGCCTCATTTCGTCTCGCTGAACCAACACAAATACGAGGGCATTTCGACTCACAAATGCACGAAATCACAAAAAGGCCTTGCCAACAACCAGCTAAACTCCTTTGAATATACTTCTGTACTGCAAAGGAGTGACACGGTACACGTTTTCTCCTGCGGAGCATGTCGAAAACATCTCCCCAACCACAGAGACATCTGTCAATTGTGCCGATTTATGCATATGTCGATGCAATACGCACTCGGGAATACCAAATGGTAAACGTGCTCCTCCTGGAAGACGAACATGCTGGACTCGGCCGTGAAAACAATACCCGTACGTGGGTAATGACCGTTTTTTTCTTCCGCGAAACGGCGGTGGCAACGTGAGTGGAAACAAATGCGAAACCAACGGTGTTATTATTGTATTTATAGTAGGGGCAACGTAAGAGTAATATATCGTGACGGTGTCGCCCTTGCCGATCAAACAATCTTCTTCCTGTCTCTCTCTGGGGGGACCGGCTCCCGATATACCTGTTCTTCCTCCCTCCTCCCCCGCTTGAATAACACCACCCATGCGGAAATTGAAACTCTCTGTTCTCCACTTCTTCACTCTGGAACATTTCTTCACTCGGCCGATTTCTTCACTCGGCCGATTTCAATTTTCAATAAAAAAAAATACGCGGCGGAACTTCATAGCGTCTGACAAGGGCCACTGAAAATATGAAAATTCCCCCCCTCTCACACATACCACTGTACCTCGGTACATACAATCACCCGGTTTGGAAATTCTGCTGCTTGGGGCAGGGATCGTCGGCATGGCTTCCGAGGTGGGTGGTTGGCTCCCTATGGCATCCTTGCCCTCCACGTAGAATCTCAGTGCTGTTTTCCACTGCACCTGCGTTGTGTGTTGTCACATTTGGCCTCCTCTCTGTCGACCTGACTTGCTTCTTTCCTCGCTGTGAAAAAATCCCAGGCACAGGCACACAACAATAGCAAAGCGCCAGGCTCGCGGGCACAACATCGTCGGAACGCGAGGTCGGGACAGGGCATCATTGAAGCCAATCGCAAGGTGGGGTATGCTGGCACAGCGCCGGGGTATCAGAGTTCGGCAGAGAGACATGGCTGATGGAAAGAGACAGCAGCAGTTGAATCACGATCCTCGGCTGCTGCCGCCATGATCGGCCGTTGTGATCCGCGGCAGATCACAAATCGCCCGCAGCAGAAATTGCAGGGACTCACGTCATAACTTTGTTCTGTCTTCACCTTGCGAACAAGGGGCAAAGACGGGTCTAGCGGTGCTTCCTTTCTGGAAGTCCCTCTAGACTAGCATGTTCAGTTGGTTACAGAAAAGTCATTTTTGAATTTGAAGTATTTTCAGCCGTTGTGGTTCCTGTCGGAAATGAACCACGGAGCCCCAGGTGAACCCTGTCCATTTTGTTCATGTCTTCATACCGTCCAAGTCGAGTTCATTCTTTTCAGGATTGGTTGGAGGTGGTAACCTGGACAACCACGTTGTCCTCCCTGCGACAGACAATTCAGACAGAATAGCTCTTTTCCATCTCTGCAATGGACTGAGTAGTGTGAACGGTAATGACACTCCTCCAAACCGCAATGTGTACCACCCTCCTCTTCTTTTTTGCTGTGCATTCCTCCGCGAAACAGACCGCAATCTGCAAGCATTGGCTCCAGGGGGTATGCCCATTTGGTGGTGAGTGCATCAATACTGAAAACTGAAGACGTTCTCTATTTTTTTGTTTTCGTCCTATTTTCTTACAGCGACAATCCCCCCATTTTTCGTGGTGACATATGTACTACACTTTCAAGTGTTGCACCCGGCAAGTGGTGGACTGTATAACTTGTAGTTTAAGCTGCTCCTTCCAACAGTCAATTGGCAACGTTGGCGGTACCAAGAAAACAGACAGTTGCTAAACATAAGAGATTGTTTCAATGAGCTCCAACGCTTACCTCTACGTTGTACCGTGTCTGGGTGTTTTCGTTCCTTTGGCTTTTCCACGGACGGCCGCTGCATGGGTAAAAGTGTAGGGGTCACAAAGAAGAGTTTAGATTACTCGCATTTGGTTCAGTTCCTTACCTTTCGAATTCTTACGTAGATAGGTGCGAGCACTAACTTTGTGGGAGTTGAGACATCTCTGGGACGAAAGTCTCTGCATCCACATGGCGGAGGAAACGCTACTCGGTCAAATGTAATCCACTACTATTATACTTGATCCAAACTATGCGTACTGCTGTAGGGCGCATCTTGGTATTGCTGTTATTTGGTCCAATGCTTTCTGTACAACTGTAAACCTGTCGACAGAAGTGAGTGAAACACATATACGAGCAGCAGAGCGAGCAGCAGTAAGGCAGGAAGACGTGTCTTCTATGGAGACATGAACTCCCACCTCCACCAGCCAGTCACATTTTTTCATCCAAGATGCTCCGAAATAGCACAGCACATACTTTCGCATTTAGACTATTATTTTTTCAGGTATCGTTTCTGCCGAATGTCTGCCCTCTCCTCCACATATCTAGACTATATGGACTCTCGCCCTAGAGATAGTTGTCTCTCTCAGTACATAGTCGAGTCATTTTCAACCAGCATCTGACTCGACTTGATTCTCTCTTGCTCTGATCCGATGCTGCACGAGCAGCTAGGTGCGCTTTTGCACACGGTGCGAAGGAGCTGAGGAATGCGACCGCGAAACCGTGAGTGAAATACTTTTCCCGGCGTCTTTCCATCATGCGTCGGGAAAGCGTGTTGCTAAAGAGTGGCAGAAGCCCGTACCCCTTCCACAGTCCAGATGACGGCCTATGCGTGAGGAAGGTTGGAGCAATGTTTTCCACTTTGCTCGCACTGAGTCGTCGCAAGAACCTTTACAAACAGCGCCCGTATTCGGCGCATGCAACTACCAGCTCTCGGTCAATCGACGA